CACTTCTTGGGGGGGTGTGGGGTCCAGAGGAGCAGTCAAGAATGCTCCATGGGTGCTCAGGGCAAGCTCATGGTAAAAGAGGTGGTGGCTGGAGGGAAGATTTGGGGACACTGCCCAGCCCTGGATCCTGACCTGCCCATCAAGCCTTCCTTACCTGTCCCCAGATTACTTCAATGGAGCCAGACTGGTGGTGGAAACCTCCAAAGACCCTGTCTACAGCTACAGTGGTGCCAACGTTACCTTGCCCTGCCACTACCGCTACGAGCCTGACCTGGGAGATAAGCGCAAAATCCGCATCAAGTGGTCCAAGATACGGGATGACTACACCAAGGAGCAGGACGTGGTGGTTGCCATTGGCAAGACCAATGTGGCCTTTGGGGACTTCAAGGGCCGTGCTCACATCCACCGGGCCAGCCAGCACGAGGCCTCGCTGGTCATCAGTGATGTGCACCTGAAGGACGATGGCAAATACCGCTGTGAAGTCATTGACGGGCTGGAGGATGAGAGCGACGTGGTGGACCTCCGGCTGCAAGGTGGGGCCATGCTGGGGACCTTGTGACCCTCTGTGCCGAGCCAGTGAGCCTGACCTTCTGTGACACCTCCTCCTTTGTGGACAGGGAGGCCAATTGTGGGCAGAAAGCGGCTGGGGTGCTTGGTGGGATGAGGTGGTGTCTCGGGGCTGTCTGACTGCAGGGTCTCAGCAGTGAGTGAGCCCAAAGCAGTCTGCGCAACTGGGACTCTGAGGGTGCTGCTATGGAGTTAGAGTTGGGAGTGACCCCATGGCTGCAGCATTTCCTGCCTTTACCCACCCATCTTCCCACTGTGCTGCATCATGTCCAGCTGTCCCCTCCCCTCCCAGCTCTGTATATCTCAATGCCTCTTGCGATGAATGTTGGTGACTGGTCCAGCCCCTTTGCTCACTTGCTATGAGGGACCTGACTCAGCCTTGACTCTGCTTCCAAGCTCAGAGCTGTGACAATGTCCCTCTTGCTTGCCCCTGCCCATTCCTTTGGCCCTGTCTCCCAGTGTCTTGTCCCCACAGGTCCCTGTGACTGTGTCCATGATAGTGGTGCACATGGTTCTGTGGTCCATCCATCCTCATGACAGTGGTCCATCTATCCCCATGTTGGTGGTCCATGTGTCCCTGGGATCGTGGCCCATATGTCCCCATGATGCTGGTCCTTGTATCCCTGTTCCTGTAGCCTATGCATCCTCACGACAATGATCTCTCCATCCCCGCAGAAGTGGTCCATGGCTCCCTGGGACCAATGTCTGTGTGTGTCCAGGGCCGTGGTCTATACGACCCGGTGGTGGTGGTCCCTGCAACCCCATTATCATAGTCTGTGCATCCCTGTATGTGCAGGTGCCGTCCCCATGAGGGGGTCCGTGTGTCCCCAGGACCAAGCCCCTGTATTCCTGTGCCACCAGATGTCGCTGGCAACTCACTGCTAGCGCCTGCACGCCCGGAGCAGCCCCATCCCCGCATTCCTGAGCCTTGGGCTCTGCCACACTGGGGTGGTTCCTGTCTCTGAATTTGGGATGGGTCGGGGACCCCTGCGTCTCCTGCTGGGGCTGAACTCGGGGCGGGTGGGCTGCCCACAGAGCCAGCTGAGCATCCCATCTGCCTCCAGGCATCGTGTTCCCCTACCAGCCTCCCCGCGGGCAGTACAGGCTCAACTTCCACGAAGCCGAGCAAGTGTGCCAGGACCAAGGTGCCATCCTTGCCAACTTCAACCAGCTCTTCCAGGCCTGGAGTGAGGGGCTGGACTGGTGCAACGCGGGCTGGCTGGCCGATGGCACCGTGCAGTACCCCATCCGCCTGCCCCGCAAGCCCTGCGGGGGCGTGCACCTCGCCCCGGGCATCCGCAGCTACGGCCCGCGCCACCGGCGCCTCCACCGCTTCGATGCCTTCTGCTTCTCCTCCGCGCTCAGAGGTGGGTGCTGAGCCACGGGTGGGGGCTGGGATCTTGGGGAAAGTGGTGTGCATCTCTCCCCCTCAGGGCACAGGGATCGGCCTGGATGGGGATGCACCAGGCAGGGATGCTCCAGATGGGGATGTTCCAGATGACTCTCAGCACTGATGCTCCCCTCTCATGCTGCCCTCTCCCTCCTAGGAGAGGTTTTCTACCTGGACCGCCTCGCTGGGATGACGCTGGAGGAGGCCAAGCAGAGCTGCCAGGATGCAGGGGCCGAGATTGCCCGGGTGGGGCATCTCTACTCTGCCTGGAAGTTCCTGGGGCTGGACCGCTGCAGTGCCGGCTGGCTGGCAGACGGCAGCGTCCGCTACCCCATTGTCAAGCCCCGGCCCAACTGCGGCCCCTCAGAGCCCGGTGTCCGCAGCTTCGGCTTCCCCAGCAAGGGCAGGTTTGGGGTCTTCTGCTACAAGGAGAGATAAGGAGCCAGGAGAGATCCTTCTTGGATGAAGGATGTTTCCAGCCTGACAGTGCCTGGTGTTGGGCATTTCCCAGGGCTGTTTTAGGGGTGACTGGGGGGAGGTGGGATGGGGGGAGGCTTCTTTTTGTTTTGTTTTGTTTCGTTCCTTTATATTTTCCACATCTTGCTCAGCAGCTGGCACATGCAGCTGCTTGGGGCAGCTGCCAGCTGGGCAGCGTGGGACAGTGCCTGTCATGGGATGTGTGCAAGGACAATCCCCGTGGGCTACAGCTGCCACCTCACTTGGCCCTGCCACTCCATGTGTGGTGGCCCCTTCCTGCGGTGGCAGGTTGTCACCGACACTTGCCTGCCCTTCCAGGCTGGTCCTACCCCCAAGTTCATGAGATGGGAGTGAGGCAAAGCTGGATTTGGCCAGAGTAGAGAGCAGGCGTCTCTGTTGCACCTGGCCCCTCTTCCAGCCCCATCCCTGACCCGCTGAAGGATGTCATTGTGCCTGTCCCTGCGGGAGCGCCACTGCCTTATCTCCATGTGCCTGTTGCCTGGACTGCACTTGAATTCTGGTGCCTTCTTCTTTGATCAGTTGTTTATGAAAAGATGTATTTTCCTGGACGTCTTCTAATAAATTGGAGAAAGCCCTGGAGTGACGTGGCTGTCCATCTCTCTCCCAGTACAAGAGAGGAGTCTGACATGGAGAGAGGATTTGGGAATCCCTGGCTAGTTGCCTAGGGCTGTCTCATCCTTGGCTGAGCATTGTCTTATTGCTGCTGGCTCCGCCCTGTGCCCACCCAAGCTCAGGCAAAGGCTTTGTGTTCCCTCATTAGTGAGTGTTAATTAACCCCCTGAGTGTCAGAACTGAAAGCTGGAAGGTGAAGCAGTTCCTGCTGGCCATGGGTTTTAGATGGGTTTTAGGCATGTAAGTTAACTCCCTCCCGAGGTGGGAGATGAACAGGGAGGGTGATGTCCTACTGTAAGGTCCCTCTTCAGCTGGGGCTTGGGACACCCCTCCCACCCCTGTCGTCCCCAGAGATGCACCCTTGGGTGCTGGCTGGGGCTGAGCCATTCCCATGTAGCCTGGAGCACCCGGTTTGGGGTCCCCTTCCTTCCTTACTGCCTTGCCGTGGGAGACCCTCCCTCCTTCCAGCCCAGAGAGACACGCCCCTTCCTTAAAAAAACAACACTGACAAAGCGCCCATTCCGATTTCACTCTCTTTATTATTTATCATTCTTTCAAAATAGTATATGTTCAAAAATATAAATAGGTGCAGGGAACGCTGGTGCCCCGCACGGTCCCCTGGAAAGAGCACGTTGTCCTGGACGGGCGCTGCGCTGCAGAGGGGGCGCTGGGGAAGCAGAGAGGGGCCACAGCCCCCAGCACCCGGGTCTCGGGTCTCAGCATCCCCTCGCCTCCCTCCTCCCACAGCTCCTTCCACCACAGCCCCCCGGCCCTCCCCACCCACCCTGACGTGCTGCAGCAGTAAAAGGATTCTGGAAAAAAAAAATAAAATAAAACCCCAAAAGGTGCTGTTCACCCTGGAGATTAAATAACAGAAATAATTACATTGTTCGTGGATAAAATCAGGAAAAAATAATCATCTTTATTATTTAACTTAACCCCCTGCCCTCTGCAGACCCACCCCCCTCCCTGTCCCCAAAGGCACGAAGATAATTGGAACCGGACGGTTAGTAAAAATGCTGAGATCTAATTTGTTTTGCTTTGGTGCTTGGAAAAACATTAATTTTTTTTTTATATATATATACACAAAGGTGGGTTTGTCTTTAATATAATTTTTTTCCTTATATGACAAAAAAAGCAACAAGAAGAAGAAGAAATTGACTCTGTTAATATAACTGTTCCGTTAAAAATCTCTCGCGTTTCCCCTCTGTCTCTCGCCCCGCTCTAATGGGTGGGTCTGTGGACGGCGCTGCCGCTGGGTCTCGACCGGCTCCTGGGGCTCCTCTTGTATAGCCTGCGCTGGTAGCTGGAGGCTGTGGGATAGAAGAAAAGGCACCTTGTTGGCAGGAGCCGGGACAGAGACGCTGCTTGTCCCGCGCTGGCCTCCCCGGCCCCTGGCTCCCTGGAAAAACACGGGCAGCCGCAGGCAGCGCTGCCCGGCGGGTCGCTGTGTGTGCCCCGGCGCCAGCCTGCCCACACACGGACAATCGGCCCTTCTCTCGCCCTGCACCTGGGCTTTGCTTCTCCCAGGGGAGAAGGTGCCCGGTGCCGGGCGGGAGCCTGGGCAGGAGCATCATCTCCGCGGATGCCTGTGCCATCCCTTCCCTGCGCCCGGCCGGGAGGGCAGCTCTGCTGGTGGAGTGGGCGTGGGTACCAATTCCCTGCCTCTCCCCTTGCCCTATCAGTCTCTCCCCAGTCCACAGTCCCAGTATCCATTAGCAGTGGGATGTGCTCAGGGCACAGGAGGGGAAACAGCCCCATCTGGCTGGCAGGGAGGGACAAGGTTTCTGCCTGATCTTTGCTGCCAGTCTCCCTGGAAGCTGGCACCACTCTGCTGTGATAATTGCAGGAGGGTTTTAGTGGAAGCAGCAAAAGCTGGTTGGGAACAGAAAAGGTCTCTTGATCGCTGGCGGTCCGTGCAGGGAGCAGCCTGCAGCTCTCCAGATGCACGGCAGAGCCAAGGGAATCAGCCTCTTGGACTGCACCAGGCAGCCGCCCTTGGATAGGTCCTCCATCCCTCCTCCTTTCATCTTCTCCCTGGGGCAGAGATTTGTCCCTTAAGCCTGTGTCGACTTTCCCTGGCTGTGGGACCATTGCTTAATCTGCCTTATCTGGAATTGCTCAGCTGGCCCAGAAGCTGGCAAGGAGGCCACTGGACAGATGTGATTTGTCTGAGGCAAATAAAATTATTGGGAAGCTGCAGGCAAGCAGGGATGGGACAGGGGTGTAGGCAGGCGTGGGACTGGGCTGGAACACCAGAGGGAAAAGGCTGGCTGCCATTAGCTGGAGGCCTGACAGGAGGAGAGTCAGGAGCCCAGCCCTGTCCCTTGGCTTATCTCTGCGTCAGGACTTCTGTCTGGTCCCAGGGCAGGGGGATACAGGGGAAGGGCTCGGGAGACCACAGCTCCCCCCTCCTATTCTCTCTGTTGATGCAGGTGGTGCCAAAACTTGCCCTTTCAGAAGCCATTTATTTTTCTTTCTTTAAGTAGCCTGGGCCATTGTCAATCAACTTGTTGCCCTTTCCTGGCTCTGGAGCTGCCCCTACGCTGCCTTGGTGGAGGAGTTTCTAGGGCAGGAATTGCCCAGACTGTCCCTCCAGCCAGCTGATGTGGCTCACATCCGCCCAGAAGATGTCAGCTTCCATAACCCCGTCATGGGGAAGCTTTCAAGAAGTCAAGGGAACCGTGATACTCCCTTCTGCCTGGCTTGGAGCTACCCTGCACTCTAAGGCGATGCCCCTCTCATTCCCAGCTCCTTCTCCCAGCTACAGGGGTGCATTCGGTCCCTCCCTAATCTGAAGGCAAAGGGACTGAGACGTACGGTTTAGGCAGGATATCCGCGGCTCCTCCCACTGCCCGTTGGGCTGGCACCGGATGGTGGGCAGGTGGCGCTGGATGTAGCCTTGGTTGCACTGGTACCGCACCATGGAGTTTATTTCATAGCGTTCCTTCTTCCGACCGAAGGTCCTGGCGTTCTCCACGGCAGGGGGGTCCCCACAGGCCACTGCAGGAGATGGGCAGACACATAGGGAATGAGAAGAGTCCTGCCTGGCTGAGCAGGACCTGGGCAGCTCCTGCCTGCCCGCTGCAGGCTGGGCACACAGAGCTTTGTCACTCCTCCCACGGATAAAACCTTAACTCCCTTTGAGATTGTCCACAAAATTTATGGGCAGGGAGGTATGGGAATTATGTGATGGGCCTTGAAATTAAGTAAGGTTCTGCCTCAGTGCTCCATTCCTGCCTCCTGGAAAGGCAGCGAGAGCTGAGCTTCACAAAGATATCTGTGTCTGTGGGAGGACATGGAACTGGTGTTGTGGGAGTGATGATGCAGCTAGGGTATGACTCTACCTAGAGATGTTGAATTCCTTGATAGCTCATCTCATTTATTTTCAAATCCTTGTGAAACTTTCTCCTAGAGCCTTGGCCAACTTCTGTTTCTAATTCCTTCCACCCCTTTGACCACCCTTTGACAAAACCCATTTCATGTGCACTGGAGACTCTGCTCCAGTCCTGCAGCTGCTGCAGGGTGCTGACCTGTTCCTTTCTTGCAGGTGAAAGGGAGGTGATAGTTGCAGGGAACATCATTCCATTCTCCTTTCTCATGCCAGATCATCACAACGCAGTCCTCCCCCGCCGAAAAGAAGTTGTCGGGTTGGTTGGGCCTCCAGTTCTCATATTGCTGCCAAGAGAGGAAAGCCCTTCACCTAAGGCTGAGCCCTTCCCTCTCCCACTCCCTCCTTCACCCTTGCAGCTTCACCCATGTCCCTCTTCAGCAGTGACCATGGAATGCTTGCACTGCTCCTGTAGTGGTTATTTCTGCCGTGATGGTGTCAGGAGCCAACCACCTTTACTACTGGCTTGGAAAAACCGTGAGCCCTGCAAAGTTTAGGGCTGCCCCCACTCAATGCCCAACCCAAGCACTCATCATGTAACTCATGGGGCTCTTCCCTCCCGAGGGGAACCTCTTCTCCCTGTGGAAAGCTGGCGCCTGCTCACGCTGTGGGCTGTAGGCTCACCAGAGAGTGCCCGTCGGACCAGCGGAAGTCGTTCTCCACAGCTCTGTCACTGAGGCCGATCCACTGGTAGTCCTGTGCATGACCTGGAAGAGCAGAAGGGGAGAGAAGAGTGGGTCGTGATTGCCCTACACCTTGTTGAAAGCATTTCTTTGCCATCTCAGCTGTCTCTGCCCTGGAGCCTTATTTTCCCCATATCATACTTGTCCGTCTCCCTCCTCACTCAATGTGCCATGAACATGGAAGGACCCATGCAAGGATGAAGCTTTGTTAGAATATATATGAGCACCAGTGGGGCAAATTGTGGTTTAACAGCATTTTGGATAAACCTGCCCGTATACTCAGAGTCTGATGGCTGGACCCCTGCCCAGCCTCAGGCTGCCCTTAGCACTCACTGTTCACAAATTCTT